TATATATATATATATATATGTGTGTATGTACATATATATATATATATATATATATATATATGTGTGTGCATTAAGTCAGGATTTTCAGGAGCAGGTAGAACCCAATGGTATAGGTAGGTACTCAGAGACTCAGCGGGTATAAAATAAATAATTTTAATAATAATAAATCTAATGACTAACATGGCAGCATAAACTTACAGGGCAGGGTATAAACAGGACGGAATCAGGACAGGATCAAGATCAGAACAAGACGAGACAAGATCATACCCAACGACGATGCGACACTGAACAAGACAAACAAATACACAGATAAGACAGGGCATGATTACTAACAGCTGGCACGAGGCAAGGGAGAAACTAATCAGGAGTAGTATCATGCATGGTAAAGTAAATTGAAATAGTATCCAAAGATAACTATTTGGCACTGTGAGGAAATTATACAACATTTGTAAATTTATCTACAAAAACGCATCATTATAATGTACGAGATGTTAATTTGTGTTTTGGAAATTTTAGTGTACAAACTACACTAAAATAATAGTAAAAAAAAAAAAAAAAAACTGTGAGTAAATAAAGAAGTTGCCAGCTTTTTTCTGTTTGCAAACGAGTAGGAGGAAGTATAAACTTTTTTTTTATTGTACCCCTTCACTTTAATGTATTATTTCTTACACAAAACTTTTATCCGGAATGTATTAATATTTTTACATGGTATACAAGTACATACAAAGTATTATGAGGGGTGGTGCTGAGGTTATAGAAGGTGGCCCTGTGATTGGAAGATCGCCAGTTTGACTCCCTGTATGGACAACATCAAAATGTGGGTGGGAAAAGTGAAACACCCACACCTACCTCCACCCTCCACCCACCCTGGGCTCTTGAGCAAGGCCCTTAACCCCCACCATCTGCTCTCCCAGGCACCGTAGATAGCAACTCTCTGCTCCACACAGAGAGTTGTGGTAGCTCGGTGGTCTGTAGTTGCGTCAGGAAGGACATCTGGCAAAAAAAAAAAAAAAAAACCCTTCATGCAAGTTAGTTCACTGTGGCGACCCCTGAAGGAGGGAGCAGCCGTAAGGAAATTAAAAGAAAAAATACATGCACTTTGGTTGGCCTTGTAGCTGTTTTAAGTGCTTAATAAATAAAGTGGTATGGTATGGTATGGTATATCACATTTCTATACAAGGAATACATAAAAGTAAATGGCATATACAAACAGCTGTATTCACAACTCCATAAACAAACAGCATAATTATACATGATTAGATTTAAACATACAAGTGTTGTTACACATTCCTGTACTCACAGTCAATAATACTTGCTGAAACACTAATCAGTATATAAACTTCAAGAGGGCTTCCACAATGAAATATTAATAAAGTAAAATAATAAATAAGAGAACAGATTTCACAATGCAAGTAATAAACACTGTGCTCCTGTCTGACACAGTGATCAGCCTGTATTATAAAAATGAGTTTCTAGTTGCGTTAGTTTCCTCAAAACATTAGTTTTTTTGACTGAAACTTAAATTAAACTCTGAAACTTTGCCCTGAAACAGGCGTTGTTTGTCTCTAATTTATAAAATCTGTTCTGTCATGAGAAGATAAAGACATCTGACTGATGGCCGACAGGGCTGACGTTTATTAGAAATGATGAGCACATTTTAAATGATTCCAGCTGTGCACAGCTGTATCTGCAGCTTCTGTTAGCAGGTGGACAGCTCCCTCTGTGGGCTGTCAGAAGAACCTCTCTCTGTCATCTGTGATGTTTTTTACTTTCTTAACTGTATTTTTGTTTAGGACTTGATGTTTTTATGTATGAATAGTAACTTTAAATACTGTTTGTGTCTACCAGACCAGATGCAGGGGACTGTAACCCTGAGAAATATCAGCACCAGCACTTCAGGACTTTACCAGTGCACCTCCAGCAATGTCATAGGAAAGAGCACGTGTGTGCTCAACGTGCAGGTTGTAGCACGTAAGTAGACTCAAGTTATGATTGTTCTGACGGGCTGAATGGGGAGGAGAGGAATTACTGTGTCTGGACAGGAGCAGTGCCTTATGACGTCCTGGGGACTAAATCTGTCGTCAAGTGATACTTTTCAGCTACACACATAAGCAAATATATATATATATATATATATATATATATATATATATATATATATA